GGGGGGGCTTCGAAGGGCACGTTGGCAAATCCGTGAAAGAAGCGTCCCTCTGCGCTGCCGCCAACTGATTTTTAAATGACCTTTAATTAAAGGTTTCAGCCGTACGGAGGGCGGGAGGCGAGTCCCGGGAAGGTACCGCCCTGGGTTGCTTTGCCTCGTAGGAAGTTCCGCGCTGCCTTCACTGGCGGCAGGACAGGGAGCTGGGCAGGGTCTGGGCTGAGCCCCGGGTGGGTCCCACACCCCTCAGGGGACACGTGGCACCCCCTGCTGAGCCGCCACACACAGAAAAAGCAAAGCTAAATAAACCTCGTTCCTGCCCGCTCCAGCGTCCTGAGTACTCGGGAGACTGAGCACTCTGCATTCAAAAAGAAACAAAAAGCAACCCCAGCTTCGGTTTCATGTTTCACAAAACGTAATTCCACACAGTGCCACATTCGTAAGAAGTGCAAGCCTATTTGATTCTAAAGGGAATCTGTTTGCCCTTCGAGAAAGTGCTGTGGGAGGCCTGCGTGTTTCCTGCACTGCAGATCGAGCCCCGTGACTGCATCTTCACGTGTTTCAGCCTTACGCCTGCTGTCAGGAACACAATTTCCTGCCTTTACTGCACTTGCTTTCAGCACCACACTGGTTTGGCACTGGGGCCAAACCTCATGATGAACGACGTGTGTCAAACACGGGAAATCAGTGCCCAATCTACTACGGAAATAACAAGGTTCTTCTCTCAAAGCACAGCACTCTCAGCCTGAGGAACTGCCCCAGAAAGAAACGAAAAATGCAAAGATTAAGCATTAATAGGTATAGTCTTAGCTGAGTAGAAGATTAAAAATAACATTTTGGAAGCATAGTCATGGAGAAATGTGATGTGTTGTAAGAAAGGAGGAAATTTGATACATTATTTAACAAATAGTTTTCAAACACTCAAGCAATATTACTCTAAAATAACCTTTAGAATACATTACTACTACTGCAAGATTCCATTCATTCCTTTTGCAATCTTTAATCTTGTAAGTGCACCTAATATTTATACTCCAATTTTTATATACTCCGTTGTATTTGGATACTGGTAAAAGGCTCATAATCCCCAGATAAATTATTATTGCTTCACTTCTGATGTGTGGACTAATTCCTGATAGGTCTGAATCTGAGCTTCAGTGCTGTTGTCTGTCAAAACACACTTTACAACAGAAAGGCCATACTTAAAGCTTGGATGTGGGCTACGGACCAACCAAAACTACAAGGTGACTGCTCAGAGCAAGCACAGCTTGACTAATTTATGATGAAAACCCAAGGAAAAGAGAAACAACAACTTGCTGCCTCAGGGTGAGTATATTTCACTAGAAGCAAACTCAGACTGCTTTTTTCCTAACAGGATAGAACAACTTTTGCATGTATTGTTTTGACAAGTAATAAAATTGTCAATCAAAACTCAAAGTTTTGTTTAAGCCAGAATGAAAATCTGGTTTAGCTGTTAATCTATATATTATTAAGCATTCATCACAAAAAAAAAAAAAAGTTTTATCTCTTAATCCAATAATAAAAAGGTATGTAAACCCTGCTAAATACATTAGGCCAACAATTGCTTCAATGTTCAATGCAAATGTGTAAGGGGAAATCCCTGGTGCAGCAGGACAGCTGAAAATGGCAGTTTTTTAAACCTCCTCCCAAGTCTTTCCTGCTTTTTTTCTTGCAAATAATTGACTCACCCAGTTAAAAGCCACATCATGTATGAAGAGAGAAAAATAACTATTTTCCAAGTTAGAGTTGTATGATGTACTAGAGTTGCATTAAAACAATTTGCTGACAGAAAGAAGGAAGGTGTGTTCCAAAGTTTACAAGCATTCACTGCCCCCTAACTCCAGACCACAGCAGGAAGGGTTGGAGACAAGCATATTTTCATTTCTCCCAAGAAGAGTACAGTTCTTTTTTGTAACAGAAATAATGAGCCCATTAATTGCATTCCTGGCCCTCTAAAACTACTTAAAGCATCTCAACATTTTGTTTTGCAAAATTTGAAGACAATCCACTTGCTTGGGTTCAAATTCAACTAAACTTGTACATAACAGGGATTCTGTGTGCTTGAATTGTTTCTCTTATGTCATCTTTATTTGATATCCGGGTCCAGTGAGAAAGAATTCCACCTACTTTCTTTCAATTAGTTTTCAAAGATCTTGAGCTTAATCATTAACTTATAGTTTTATTCCTCTTTATTTAATTCCCAGCAGGAAATGAAAAAGCTAATTTTCCAACTTCAGGCTTTCTATCAGAAGTTGGTATAACTCAAATGATGGGCAGCATTGCTTTATTTTCAAGCACGGGTTAAACACGTTTGGAATGGGAAGCTTACAGGAAGGTAGTTTCTTATTTGAGACTTGGGGTCATTTAAGGACCTGCTAATTCTTATCAGGCCATTTTGTAATGGACTTAAGTCTTATTAAACTGTCAAGTAAGATTAGACTTCACCTTTAGTTACAGAAGGCAATTCAGTGATCAGAACAGATTTCATGAGCTAAAATATAAGGTATTTTTACATGAAAATACTTGTGGTGACATGAAGAAAATATATTACTATCACTACAAAGAAGAACTTTTTGCAACTAGGTTTTCGGGTTTTCTGCCCATTTCCACACTGCTGGAAGCAGCCTATTCCATAAACTGGCCAGGGTGCTAGGAGAGGAAGAATAAAATTGGCTTAATTTTCACATTTTTTCTCCTACTTTGACAGTGAGATTTTTTGGCAGGCTACTCAATACAGACAAGTATTCAATATGTGCAACATTTTGGGTTGTCGGGCTTTTTGTGTTTGGATTGTTGTTTGTTGTGTTTTTTTTAAATCAAGTAGGTCCATACAAACCCCTGATGGGACTGGCTTAATTTTAAGATTGGCCTTGCAGACCTTGCTGAAGGTCACTGTGTTGTTGCTCTTGATTTCTAACTCACCATAGCTAGTCAGTTCAGTTGCAGAGAACAACCCCAGGTAACACAAATACTGAACTTCTATTAAAAAAACCCCACAACTTCAGTAGTACCAAGATCAGAAACCACATTCTTGCCACAGGAACTCTGAAGATCAGCATCATTTGCAGAGCTTCCAGATTACTCTATCATTATGGTTCTTTGCCTCGAGTGGTTGCATTCTAACAGCAGCATTTTTTAAAATCACTGTAGGTATTGAAGATCAGCATCATTTTCAGAGCTTCCAGATTACTCTATCATTATGCCTTGTTCTTTGCCTCGAGTGGTTGCATTCTAAACAGCAGCATTTTTTAAAATCACTGTAGGTATGTTCTGCTTTATGCTTAGTCACATTTTTCCACCCCTCAGTTCAACTCAGTCTTCAACATCTGTCTACAGGCATTGTAACCCTTAATTTCCCTCTTCAGGTAGAGCATCTGAAAGAAAGGAGCAGTCACCAACACCTCTTGTGAATCGAATCCAAATGCCAGCCACATTCATTGGTTCGGTGGATTCAAGAAAATACATATGCTTGCAGATGATACTTGACCCTAGACTGTCATGGCCTCTCCTCCCACAGAGATTTCTATAACAAAAGACAAGGCTTGCATTCTTCAAAGTTTAACATTCATAAAGCAAAACTGTGCTGCTGAGAACCTAACTTCAGTGAACTTGGGAAGCAAAGGCTGTGAAGGAACCTTCACATTCCAGTTATAAGCTGTTGGCTCTGCCCTCTGGCTCAGCAAAACACAACCAACAGCTTCCCAAATAGCCTGATGCAGTTAAAGAAAATAACCGAGGTGACAACCTGCTCTGTGACAGGGATGTAGATTTTTACAAGAAACCAGGAAGCAGCTTGTCTTGCACAAGAAAATTTGTTTGGAGAGCTCTTGCATAAGACAGGGACATATGCTAGTTTCCCACATTACTTACTCACCCCAGGAAGGAAGGATTTGGTCCCAAGCAGACCCTTGTAACAGCAACAGCCTCCAGAAGGCCTATCGCCTCTCACACTTTGGGCACTGCCTCAGCTGGGTAAGGCTTGGGAAGTGCCAAACTGGCATTCCAAAACCAGAGGAATTGCTCTGCATGTTTCTGAACTCCAGCAGTGAAGAAGGATACCAGTGAAGAACCAGGTCACAGGTGGTCAAATACAAATTCAACATGTGACACTGAACACTGGGACAGTGACACTGCCCCGTGAGAAGTGTCAGACAGGGACACCATGGTTTCAGCTTTGAACACGTGGCAACTTGTAAGAAAAAGAAAATCCAAGGATCTCCAGTTATCAGCATGACATCAAGACAAATGAACAGTGAAGGAAGAATTTACAAATTTGACCTCATATTCAGAGCTCTTTTAAGTATTTTAAGCTCCTCAGGCACACTGTCTGTCAGGCACATTGCTTGACAAGTATTTACTGCTACAGGCTCTGAGAGAAAAAGCTTAATTGTAACAGAAACCAGTCATTCTCATCCAGGTGCACCTCATTAAAAAGACCAAAGAAAGCTCTAAGTCAGTAAGGCATCAAAAAATATTTTAAGACAGAAAAGTACTTCTTTTTAAATTTTGAACACAGCCCAAAAACCTGGCATTTCCTGCTTGGAAAAAAATAGAGATTTTGAATGAATCAGAATGTATTTGCATTTCAAGTGACAAACACAATGTTTAAAAGTAAAAATATTTTAATAACCAGTAATTGGGATATGTCCCCTTACTACATTTTGGACCAGCAACTACTCTGCAGATGAAAGCCAATTAAAGACTTTGTGCGAGTTTTCTGCCTTGCAATATACAAAGGTACATACCCTTCTTCTAGAATTCCAGCAATACAGATACAATACTAAATAAAACTTTAACATCCTTTGAGTATTTGAAGTCCTGTGCTGCCACACTGTACTATGAAAACAAATTATTATATGGAGTTACAGAAAACTAACACACTGGAAACACTGCCTCATTCCACAGTTTATACAGACTTACATACTTAAACTGCTAGCTTAAGAAGATTAAACAAGTAGTTCAGTAAAAATGGTCATATGTTTATGGGATAAATAGTGTTGTTTAAACCTAACTATAGATTAAGCTATTGGGCCATGAGTAAGCAACTTTTTGTACCAAATATGCAGTTCCAGCAATACAACTCACTTAAACTGCATTTGCATTCAACGAGAATACATCTTTTCATCCAGATGGAAATAAATGTATGATCAAGAACAAAATAAAATCTCTTATTAAATGGTTTGCAGAATTTATTAGGTCTTTTTCCATATACTCAATACTTTGTCAAGCTAGTTGCATATAAAGTGATCTCCACCATATACATTACAATTTCTGTGCACCATCTAAAACCAAAAAAAGTCACCAAAATGTAGTATTTTACTTTTAACTTTGAATTAACCTAAAAGTGAACCCTTCTGTAATTTAAGACACTAACCTGCACATTCCCTCTAACTGCAATACTTAAGTTAGGTTTCACAGCAAGATCAACCTGCATTTCAATGAAAAGAGGTTACTGCCATCTCAACTTTTGAATTTCTATAGTTTACCATCTTCACACTGCAAAAAAGTTAGTGTGGCATCTACTCAAAATAAGGAAAAATATATGACAATTCCTTTACAACAAAGCCTGTTTAGAATACACATGCCTCAAGAAAATTAGAAAACTCCTCCAGTAAAAAGATTACACCCAAATTTGTGAATGAAATAACATTTTAGCTTCTTCTGGAGTAATGCTTGGAGCTGCTCATGAAAAGCAAAACCTGCACCCACAACAGGTAAACTAGTACTGGATATGACTTAAAGAAAAGAACATCAGAAAAAAAACAGATTTTACCTGCAATAAACATTTCCCAATTTAGAACAAACTTTAAAAGAGACTCACGGAAATAACTAACAAATAGGTTTTCTGATACCTTCATAGGATGATATTTTACTGGCCAGGCACATATATTGTAAATATGCAAAGAATCCAGAGTGCCAAAATTTACACAGCATTTAAAAGGATTTAACATAACAGAGGTGGGTAGGACACAGGAAAAATATTTAACAACTTATATAAATATATTAAAATCTCAGCAAGAAATGTAAAAGCCCATGCACACAAGACAGTAAATTGAAAAAAACATTTAAGACATGACTTTTCCTTTCAATAGCACTGACACCTGAATTCCAGAAAGTTAACAATTTATAGTTATCTCATAACAGTCTTTCTCCACACAATCTGTATGTCCTGAATCACAATGACATTACATAGCACATGAGCAAGCAGCAGATGCATCAAGGGAACAGGAGCTATATGCATTGTGTGGCCTGCCTGGTTCCAGGCAAGTATCAGAAATATTGTTTCTGATGTAGGCAGAGATACAATCGATATAGCTAATTGTATACCCGTCATTTTCAACAGTTAATCCACAGTATGGGAAAGAGAGCTTTAGATAAAATTATGTACCCAGTCTCAGAAGTGACAGAAGCAGAGATTTTGTCTTTCAAAAACTGGGTCCATTCTGGACTGGCCTTGATGCACATGCAGAATACTTGTTTTCAGAATGCAAGATTAATTGGGAATGTCTGCACTAGTGTTTCGATTTCCGTATTTGTGATGGATGATGAGCAATACAACTCCTAAGAAGAAGCATATGGACCCAACAGTGATGTATGCAATTCCCAGAAAGGGATTTTTGCCTCCCATCCATGAGATGGTGCTTAGAATCATTCTCTTTCGTCCATCAAAACTGTGTACAGGATAATCTGAAAAACATATAGGAAAACAAGAGGCACATTTCCAAACCCTGCTTTTTGTAGCTAGGTACACTAAATTTTCAGTATCCTTTCACTCAGGTTCCAAATACAAACTGCCTTTTTTGAATATTGGAAGTGCAAATATGAAAAATTTAGCTGTTCTTCTAGGCTAAAACTAATCTGGGCACTGACAGCTACTCCAAGAAAATTGCCACTTCAGAAGATGCTAACCTCTCCTTAAGGAAATAGTAAATGCATAATTTTTTGCATTTTTGAAAGCAGCTTCAATAAAATGAGGGAAATCTAAACTTTAACTTAGGAGAATGCTGCAGCACATAACTAAATGATTGTTAAGTGCTTCCAAATTGTTAGGCTTCAGTAACTATGACAACTATCCTGCTCTAGTCTCCTGCACTTCTGCCTAATCTTTGATTTGTCTAAAATAGAATGATAGGATCCCCCCACCCAATACACAGCTCTGGCATTTCTGTTACCTCCAAAGTCAGTCTGCCTTTGATTACATACTGTCATTACAATCTGAAGTTGTCAAATTTCTAGGCTACCAACTACCTCTCTCCTTTAATTTTTCCCGTGCTTCCCTGAATTCCTTTAGACCCAAGCAATCTGATTTCCCTCTTGCTATGAAGCTACTTACTTCGTTTTACACACAGATTTGAGTAATTGCACAGCAGAGCAGGCTTCTCTGGAGCAAGTCTACAAGTAGAGAGCATTCTGACTAAAATACAAGGAGTCACAAACGGACCCAAAGCAGGCCTCAAACTCCTGAATTAATTAATTCCTGCACCCATGAGAAATGCCTCTCCCAGATATTCAATGTCCTACAGTGTTAAAACAGCAATTAAGAGTTCATAGGAACGCACAGGAAGGCATCAAAGAATTAGGAGTCCATCTGCTGATGAGTAAAAATGCACACTGCCAACTGGCCACATGACCAAACCAACCTAAGAGTAAATAAAGCATGTCTATTTATAGTATTTTGCAGAAACTAGAACCTGACTAACTGCAACTTAAGACCATTTAGCAGACTTCAAGGTTTATCAGCTCACCTGAAGGCTTAGCATCACCTGAACTGCAGTCAAGTACCTTCCTGGCAGCAAAAATGCAGGCAGTCTGCCCAAGCATTCTCAGCTAGAAATGCTGCCATCCGCAGACTTTAGACTCTATCCCACATGAGGACTGACCATAAACGTGACCAAGATGTGTGAGGAGAAAGTGAATGAGACTGACCACACAACTGCAAGAATTCAAGCTAAGTGTACAGAGCAGACACTATTGTCCTCCAAAATTTGCCTACTGGGTAAATTTTACACTGAAATCTTCTCTAGGATTAACATCTCCATTATCTCCTCACAAAGTCCTCCTCTAAAGAGTTTATTATTTTTTTAACTGAACTGAATGTTTCCATACTAGTTATATTTCTTAACTTTATATTAATGCAGCTTTATATGTACTACAAAATAACTTAAGAATGTTATGATTAAAACTGCACTTACATTAAAGACTGTAAGTATAACCCAGTCGTTCTATCTATGCAGCTTAAAAACTGGACTGGATTTCATGTTCTAACAGGCCACACACAAGTTACTTCTGTACAGCCTTGCACAGAAGTACAAAATGGTAATTATTCCACCCTACTGTCACTACCAGTTTTCAACCACACCTCACTACCTCTTTTTTTCAGAGACAGCAAGTAAAAATGCCAGTTTGATTTGAACTTGCGCAAATATACGCCCATGTAATCCTAGGACCCTTAGATGCTTTCAAAGGCTTTCAAAGGATACTGTATGTGATATTCAGAGAGTATGTTCCAGCCTGCAAGGTAGGCTGCAAATTATTCTTCCTTTCAATGAGACGATACAGCTTGCGAAACGTCGGCAGAGCAGCTGTGCGCATCCACACAATGAAGTCTTCATTGATAAAGCCATTGTTGTCAGGCTCTGAGTCCAGCATATACACTGGCTTGGGCCAGTTTATAGGCTTTGTTGTGCCTAGGATGAAACACAATAACAACAAAGCATTTCACATACAGGACTAAGTTAACACACTGGCTCATCAAAATTCATTCTAATACTACAAAAAATATTACCTTCTCAACAGTACAAACAGACAGGTTGGCTCACTACTGTTGGAAGACACCGAGCTGTTCAAGAACTGTCTATTTTGCAGCTTAAGCAGTAGTGCATATCCACTTATTGTCACTGTCCCTTTGTTTAAACAAATTTGCCTCCTCATCACATTTATATAGCTAGGACATCTTGGCTAAAAACATCACTGTACTTCACTGAGATAGTTCTCCTCTGCTGGGGAGAGTCTGACTACCACTTTCTGGACCACAAGTACTAGTCCAAGTACCAACCCTTGGGGAACACCACCTGTCACAGGTCTCCATCTGGACATCAAGCCATTAATCACCACTTCATGTGTGACCATCCAGCAAGTTCCTTACCCAACAAGCGGTAACATGTGGTTTGACGGTGACTAAGAAAGAAGCCCACATCAGGTGAAATCTGAAATTATTATACACCTTGCATAAACACAAACACACACACCTTAGAGCCCCGAGGAAGATTATTTTCAGACACTGGTAGCCAAAGAACACTTTCATTTACCAAACTGTAGTTGACCTAACAAATGAGAGACATCAAATACTTCTAGTAACAAAGTTTCCACAATCTACCAGTAGAAACATTTAAATGAAAACTCCAAAAGAAGAGTTTGATTAAATAATTGCAGGATTTCTTTTCAAGTTAAATCCAAGGATTATAGCAGTTGTACTGGCTTTGGCTGGGATAGAGTTAAATTTCTTGTTAGTACCTTGTATCCTGCTATGTTTTGGATTTGTGATGAAAAGAGTGTTGATTGCACACTGATGATTTATTTATAGCTGAGCAGAGCTTACACAGCCTCAAGGCCTTTCCTGCTTCCTTAGACTGCCCTGCCAATGAGTAGGACGGGGGAGCAAAAGAGGTTGGGAGGGGACACAGCTGGGAGAGGTGATCTCAAATGACCAAAGGGATATTCCATGCCATATGACATTGTGCTCAGTGATAAAACTTGGCAAGTAGAGGCAGGCAGGGGCTGCCACTGCTCAGGGACTTAGTTGATGGTGAGCAACTGTTTTATTTTGCATCGCTTTTCTTGGATTTTATTTTCCTCTCTTTGTTGTTTGTCTTTTGGAGGGTTTTTCGTTTTGGTTTGCTTTGGGTGTGGGTTTTTTGTTTGGTTGTGTTTTCCTTGCAACGTGTTTTTTTTTGTTATTAAACTATCTTTATCTTAACCCAGGAGCTTTCTCAGTTTTACCCTTCTGATTCTTTCCACCATACAGCCCTGGGCACAGTTAGTGAGCAACTGTGTGGTGCTTAGTTGACAGCCAGGGTTAAATCAAGACAGCAGTGCAGATATTTAGGTATTTCTCAGTATTCCAGGCGGAGGAAAAAAAGAAATCTAAGAAATTGGATTTTTTTTTTTTTTTAAATAATATTAAAGTAAATGTAAAACCCAAACACTTTCACATGAAATTTGCAGCTTTAATTATTTAAAGCCACAATATTTTTAATCAGTGTATTAACTAAAATGTGAGGTAAAAGTCACTGGAATAAAAATGTGTTTGAAGTGTTTTGTTCCTAAAATTTCTTTTTTTTTTTTTTTTACCTTGGAAAAGTGCAGTTAAATTATTTCCATCTCCTGTGGGGTTTCTGAACTTGACATTTTTATCTGTCCACCATGCAATGCCTTTTTTAATCAAAGGAATAGGAATCCTTGTGTTATTTTCAATGCGGTATAATTCCAAAGTATCTAGGGAAAAAATCAAATCAGAAAACCAGCTTGAGTAACTTTCATTAGACAGATGATCCTGATAAGCAGTGAAACAATTACCTCCAGGAGAAACAAAGCAAAAAACTGCACAAGGCATTTATGGCCTGCCCACCACATTCACAAGCTGTTCTGTAAGAATCAGTGTATATTAGATGGCAGCATATTATCCATGTATGATATATACGTCTACTCCACAGCAGTAACAGCTTCTCACAACAGGTATTTCCATCCTTAATAAACTATCAGATTAAATCAATTCTGATAGCAGTTTTTCCCAATCCAACACAAGATACTTTTTATTCTGAACAATGAAAATGTGTTCAGTAAAATAAAAAAAAGCCCACGATAACAATTTGCAACACAGCACAAAACATACACTGCATCACAAAAACATTTAAGCATTAACTTCAGATTGATTTATCATACCATTAAACATGCTGTTGGCAATAGCTCCACAAGGAGCAATGGGCTTGTCCTCATTTGTGCGGTAAGGCTCACATTCCTTACTAGGATTCTAAGAGACAGGAAAAAAAGCAAATGAATCTTTGCTAGTTTATCCAACTAACCTGTTTTTTACTACAATACCTCAACAACACATCTTAAATGCACCACAAAAGCTTTTGACAAGTCAGGTTATTTACAAATACTTCAGCATTCAATAGATGCTAGCATGATTGATTTTCCCTTTACAAGCAGGAATAAAATCCAAATAAAACATTAATCCCATCATGGTCATACTAAAAATAAGGCCTTTCTTGAAAGCCATTAGAACTTTTTTCCTGTTATCTTTTAATAGAAACAGCTTTCCAACATGAAGTGCTCAAGTTTTCTTTTACTGAACCTTTTTTTTGGGGGTATGCATCAGCGTTATAGAAAATAAGACTATAAGAAAACAAATTAACAGGAAACACAAAAGGCTGCAAGGATACAACAGCACGCCACAAATATAAGCAGAAAAAGCTCTCCCCCAACCCCTGTGTCAGACACCAGATGCAACCTCCTGAAATTCTCTCCCCTATTTTGTAGTTTACCCGTAAAAACAGAGAACCATTCTTGCTAGATCAAGGACCCAACTGTATTTCTACTCCTCATAATAATTAGGAAAAGGAGAAGCCTGGCCCTAAACATTACACAGTAGCTTGAACAGATTACACAGTACTGGTATTTTCCAACATCACCAGTGTTCAATACTGAAACAGATGCATTCAGCTGCAATATCCAAACCAAGTGCTAGATAACTGAATATTATTTTATACTGAAAACAAAAACTTCACAGTGAATTGATATAAATAGACTGAAGATAACAAGACCATTAAAACTATTCAAATTTGCAAAGTGACTGAAGAACTGCATTACTAGCTGCTTAACAGAACAACTGACACAGATGTGAAGGACCAGGTATTTCCTTACACAACAACTGACACAGAATTTTACAGTAGTTTATAGTTATTTTCTGTAAACAAAACATTAATTCCTTCTGGTTACCTTCTGTTACGCAAAAAAATCTAATTTCTCATTATTATTAAGCTAACCTCTCAGATAGTTAGTGATTTATGCAATAGTCAGAAGTTAGTAGCTGATTAATATCCAAGCATGAATACTTACAAGTAGTGAAGTGTTATCTCCATTGAGCTGGCTGTCATCTCGAGATTTGACATAACGACGATGATTTTGATAGAAGTTGGAAAGTCCATAATACATGAATACATTGCTCTACAAGAAGCAAGATGGGGCAAGAGGGGTTTTCATTCACACAAAGAATAGACCAACAGAACAAATGAACATACTACTTGTCATAAAGTTTAAATTTTAGCCTCTTAAACTCTGTGTTTACTTTACAGCAAGATTCATAAAGCAGCAGCCTCAAGCCTGTCTTCACACAGAATAGATAAGAGTACTATCCTAACAGAAACTGGCATCCTGAAGTCAAACAATATCAACATGCCACACGCTATCAGAATGGTATTCACCAGCTAATTCCTATCTTGTCCAATGTTACCCACATAAGCCTCATTATTTGCTTATTCATCAGAAAGCACCTCTCTGGCATTTCCAATACTTGTGGAACCGAGTTTTTTTAGATAATGCAGGAACAGCTGATCTACTTGCCAGCTGTAAGTAAATCAAAATGTGTAAATCGCAAGCATTCCATCTAACATTATACATTTCCAGATAAACAGAGGCATTAAAAACCATCTCATTCCTGCTACTGAAAAGGCACACAGGAATCAGATGCAAGTTCATAGGAAAACTAAAAGTAATCCTTTAAAACAGAAACAAAAAATACTTAAGTCATACAGATTTCCTATTGGTTATGAAATTAACCATATAAACTGTTCTAATTTCACTTTGCATACAGGGTAGTGTACCTCAAATGGATGTTCCAGTGTGAAATTGATGGTGCAAGTACAAGGCGGTGTGCTGTCCCAGGACACATTTAAACATTTGTTGCAAGGACTAGAAGGGTCCGTTCCTGTGTAGTCAATCTGTAACAGGAAAAAAAAAGTAATTAATTTACAATGCGAGAGTAAAGAAAATTCATTAATAAGCCAGAGTTGACATGGCATGTCATTTGCAATCTTACTACACCTTAACTCCAAAATCCCATTCAGGTCTATTTGATAATCCCAAGAGGTCCCTTCCAATCTAAATGATGTCGTCATTCTGTCTACATGCTCAATTTCAGCCTCAAACAAATTTAACACAGAGGTGGGAAATTACTACTGGGGGAAAACAAACCAAAGCACTAAACAAAAATACCAAATGAGCAAAACAAAAACATAAACCAAAAAGCAAAGAGCTCCACACAACACAGTGTTCCCAAACACACACACACACTGACAAGCAGATCTGAACTTCTATATGCTCTACAGAGAGGTTAAATTATTAAAAGTCTAGATATTTAATAAAAAAAGTTTGCATTAGAAAACTTGCTTTGCTGACCATATGTAGCCATTAATCAGAAGATTAAAAAAAAAAAAAAAGTAAAATAAAAACCTAACAAACAAAAAGATCACTTAACGCCTACAAACTCTTCCAAAATAGGGAAGATGAAGACACTCATATTGTTTTGCTGGAAATGGTAAAATGGTCTAGATGGACAAGAAAAATGATCAGTGTTAATCTGGCTTACACAGTATTATCTGACTTTAACAGCATAGCTCAAAAAAACCCAAAGTTTTTGAACTCTCCAAATCCAAGTCTACCTGCACAGTATGCAGAACATATCCTCAGCAGCTATGAGCTCACCCAAGTCCTATGGCAACTGAAGCTGCTTGACCACATGAGCTCTCTCTCATGCATAGCTCTGGCATGTGAATGGCAGGAAATAACTAATTTGGGCCCAGCAGGCTAGCTCGAGTGTAGCAGGAGAAAGCTTCATCTGCCTCTACACTTAGTGTGAACTTCTAGTTTAGAATTTAGACTCAGATCAGTAGAACATACCAAGTTACGGCAACAAACTGTTTAACAGCAGTACCATTTGAACTATGGCAACCAGTGTGTTTTATGAAAGGCTGCTGCAAACAGTTAGCCCAGACTTATGCCTGTAGTGAAAGACATCAAGAATTAGAGTGATTTATGCTCTGTCCTAATACCTGTATTAAGGGTAGCCAAAACAAACAGGCAGTTTCAAGGTTCAGGGAACACGGCAAGCTTATTTTCCTCTAGATCTTCTTCAAGGTCTCCCTTCTTGCGATTTCTTCAGCATCTATTAAGCTGCAACCTCAGCACTTTTCACAGTATCCGCTCTGCTGCCAGATTCTGGCAGATTAGACCTACACCTTAACGAGCTTTAGCTGAAAGGACTCAGCTTCAGAAGCAATTAGCCAGCAGAGAGAGAGAGGGTCACATCATCTTTGCTTCCTCTGCTGAACAAGATACTGAGTTTGTGCTGATCTAGAATTAGCACTACTGCGGCATTCCGGAACGGCTCTGCCGAGCTAGAGCAGCCAGCCCACCCACCGCTGCTGGCAGCAAACAGTGCGTCTCATTGGTTAAAGGCTGAGTGATGGCAAGGAGGTCCTGCTAAAGTAAGCTTAAGCATTTGCTTTAGAAGGAACTTAAACCTCCATATCCTGAGCTAGTTCTCCAGTATGTGAAGTTTCAGATCGCGAACAAATACTCCATGGTTGCAAACTATATAAAGAATTCACTTTTAAGAAGACAATTGACTAAATTCCGTGGAGCATGAAATTGACGCATATTGAAACAGAATCGTGCTTTTGACCACTGCTATCAGCTTCAATGCTCTCCAAGAGCTTTCCTGTACAGTAACTGCCAACACAAGTGGTTTTTTTTCCATCCACATTTACAAGTTACATTCAACAGAGAGCTTATTTAAAGGGACAGAGATATCTGTCCTCATCTCTTGACAAAATAACAAAACTGGAACTTGGAGAACTCCAAGACTGACTTTGAGGCCCAGAGCAAGAGTTTGCCTTTCCCAGCATGCTGTCCCCAGGAATTGATCATCAGCTGAGTATGACAAGCCCACACAGAGTGAGCCCTTCCCAGCAAGCTCTGATTTAAGGACACTGGGTATATCCAAATCCTGCACCAATGTCTTTTCAGGTTGTTGATTTACATTTTTGCATTGTATAGTAAGTTTTGCAGTATATAAATAACTATTGCATATACATATTCTCACAACCATTAATAACTTGTAGACTTCATACACTGTCACACATTTATTCTATCCTGCCTGGCCACTTCTTGTATAAAAGGCATCCCCTAACTCTGGCCCTATGTGCTGTCTCTCTCTAGATTTTATTCAGTTTCGTGTAATTTTTGAGATGGAGCTACTGGAACTGCACACAACACTGAAGAGGTACGCAATAAGTCATCTGCTCTCTTTCAGTTCTTCATTCCTAGTTACGCCTTAAAGTCTACTTGTTTTTTTTAATTGCAATCATGCATTTCACAGCAGCTGTCACACCACAAAGATCTCTTTCCTACACAATTAATGTTTTGGATATTTCTCAATTTTTATCACATTTTAATATGCTCTTTCAATGCTTATCCATTCTAAAAAATATAAAAATAATCAGGAAATGTAAAATGCATTTACCCTTTAACAATATGGGAAAAAGAGACATTTACACAGCTGCTTCTCATTTGCTAGCCAAATGAACTATTCTCATGATAGGCCCAAGATAAATGGGTGTTTATACCCTTTGATACTGTGAGAAAAAGCTACAGAACCAACAGAAAAACCCTGTAATTCTAGTACACTTAAGCATTGGAAATCTTCCACATTTTAATTCAAGAGACCTTATCAAGGAAATCAATGGAAAAGCTACATTTTTCTGCTCAGGCCTTGCACCTGCATGCAAACAGCACAGTTAACAAACACTAATGGCTGCAGTATCTAGTTTCAGGAAAGGGTTATTTGAACTGTACATAAATATGTATTTCAGGGGCATAAATCATACATCCTATTCAATTTCACTCCACTGGGTTTACAGGCAGCTATATATATACATACACACACAAAAGAATGCTATTCTCTAGGATGTGGGTGTCAATAACTACCTGTGCTTCCTCCCTCAACTACATTTTAAAAAGAGCTTAGTCACTGAACCTAGCTCCTTTGTGTCTTGTGTCCCAGAGCTAAATTCACAGCTATTTGAGAGTAACATTTGGAGGTTACAAACAAAAGCCAGCATACTAAATAAGCACATATCTCAGCTAAGCACTTAGGTGATAGCAGTGTCTTAAACTGCATCCCTCACTAGTGTTAGAGCCCAAATGTTGGTCTGTAAAATGCTTCATCTACATTTTGGTGCTGCAACTGTAAAGCCTTTAAGTTTTTGGGTTTGAGTTTTGGGGTTTTTTCCCCACAAAAATTCAGCTGCCTTTAAAGTGACGATCGCACTCATGAGATTTCCGCATTATAGCACCTGATAAAACCAACATGAGGATCAGAAAACAGAACCCAGTTTCTCCATTCTTACCTGCACACCCCAACTATTTGATCATGCACCCAAAAGTCAAGAACTCTGTCCCTCCTGTTCTCACAAAAGCCTAATGATCTGACCTGGGAGAGCTTCAAGTCAGGTGGATTATACAAGTTGGAACCCACACAGTAAAATAAATAAATGAACACAACCCTTTCTCATATTGAATATCTTGAAATTAGAAAGGGTGGAAGGCCAGCAGCTGCCAACTGGTTTCTAAATATAAACAGCTACTACTGCTTTACATATGCAATCTGATTGTGTAGTGAACACTGTCACACTCCCAGCTCACCTATGGATTTTCGTACTGCACATTAGGTGGGAACATCTAGTTTTTGGCTCCTAGTGGCATTTATTAGGAGCACACAACTGTGCTGCTAAGTGACAGCAGTATGTACAAATTCTGTATATGCATTACCTCCCTCCATTGAGCATCCCACTGAAAACACGTGATTGTATTTACCTTAAATATGACTATGACATGACAGTTTAAAAGTCTACAAGCTCATGACAACTTTGCAATGTTCTCTGAGACACCTGTGTCAATTTTCAGATGTTCTGCATACCCTCAAACCTTGACACAAGAAGGAGCTGCTTTTCAAAAACATGCTTATATACAACTTTTGGACACTGTAAAAATACTTGTTTTGCTGTGGTTTTTTTTTCACTTCAGCTTTTCTTCTTGACTGGCATTTTAGTTATTAACATAAAAGGAAAGTGAACCTTAAATTTATTTTATTATAACAATGTTTTCATTTTCCTGGAGGTAAGAAAATATGATACTATTCATTGTCTAACTCACGATTTCTATAGTTAATTTGACTTCATTGCCACACTGCTGTCTTGAACAAGACTTATTTGAAAGTGACAGCTTACTCTAACAACTAGAATTATCTGATCCTCTAAAATTCATATTCTCCAAAATAGCAATCGAACAGCCACACTTTTTTTCCCCTACAGTCAGTCTTGGTCACATTAGCTCACTGAAGTTAATCACAACTGCCAAGTTGCTTTTCAAGGTTGTTTCTAAGCCCTTTGGGTCGTTTCCTTACAACACAAAGTGATCCTGTTACCAAAAGGACCTAACTGTGATCTACATCTTAGGTTTTGGTTAATGCTCAGCAACTTTTAACAGAAGTGGTGTGGTTAATTTCCAGATGTAAACGACTCAAGTTTTTGTAAGTATAATTAGAAAAAGCCACACTCTTCGATCTTTGTTTCTAAGTTTACCCCAGTCTTCATAGAGTATCTAAAAGGTTAAATCATTAGGGCACATCAGAAATTACAGCCACAGAATCACACACCACAGAGTTCTGTCCTGAAACTGCAATTGCTTTGGAATATTTAAAGATACATAACCCCTTGCCAGAAGCCGTACCAGGGACGACGCACACACTTCCGTGTACTACTAAGAACAAAACTGTCACCGGGCTGATCAGATCCTGGAGTTAACTCCCTTGGAAGCTCCCTCAGAGGCACTGGCAAGGCTGACGGGGGGGCGGGGGGACGATCAATGCGGAAAACACCCTGCGAGATCAACGCCTACTCAGGGCAATTAATGGAGGGTTTGTCAGGGAGCACAAACGTTGCGGTGAATCGGCACGGCCCGGCGCCCGCTCACCAGACA